CGCACTGGTCCTGCAGCGTATTCAGCGTTTGCCTTCCTGCTCCAGGACGGCCAGCCGGCAGAGGTGTGCCGCATCCACGAGAGTGAGGAGACGGTGTTCTTGGAAGGGCTGACAGAGGTGGAAGTGACGTCCGCCCAGAGCCTGCTGCAGCTCTACAGACGGGGCACTGCCAACAGACACACGGGTACCCACCTTGTCGTATGGGGGGCTTCTTCCTGACAGCTGCACTGCGTCTGACGTTTGGGTATCATAGTATAGGATATGAAGCACAAAGAAAAAGACTCAACATTTCACCCATTTCACCCATGAAGCCTTCTTATGTGTGAGGGGAGAGAGCACACCAGCTCTCAGGGACTAATTCCCTTTTCACCCACTCCGTTCATCCACAGATTTTTCAGACAGATTCCTCCCCCCAGATTTCCAGCCACGTGGACACTCTTTGTCGCCTGCTGTGCCCCTTTTCTGTTCTCCTTCCTCTCCCCTTTGCTGCATATTTCTGGGGCCGTTTCTCTGTCCCACCCTTGTGGAACGGTCCTCTGCAGCCCTGGCTCTCTGACACCGCTCTCCACTCGAGCCTCATCACAGCATGAAGTCAAGACAGCCCGCATACGCTGGGGCATTCAGCTTGAGCTCCAACGGGCAGGAAAATAATTGTTTTAGCCTTAACCACCTTAGCTGTATTTCCCTGGGCATCATGTTTCAATGTATGTAAGGGTCATTCGTCCAGTTTAATAAGCTTATTTCTATTACTTTTCTAACTTCATGAAAAGGAGTCATTTCTTTTTTTTTCATCTACAGGAGTGTTGAAGGGTGAGTTTGCCAGTAAGAGCCATACAATATTCAATATCATCGTCATCAACACACCAGTCAATGAAAATGATAGTAAGCCTTCTTTCATTTGCCTGTTAGAATTAGTAGATTTTTAAGCCAGCTCCAAATAGCTACAACTAAAAGCTCCCTGTGTCAGTTAGTTTAGAAGATGAAGCAAGTCACAATACTTCTGTTTTCTGTTCTGTTTCCTCAAAGACCTAAATAATGTGAATTATGTAGTATGTAGTTGACGTACTTCAGTATCCAGTATATTCATATTTTGTCCATTAATAGCATTGAACACTGAATGAGTGTTGTAGTAATTCTGTTTTCACCCACTGTACAGATTAAAGCTTAAAGCTTAAAGCAAGATGCAAAAGATGAAAACTTGTTGTTTAATTTAATATATATGCCATCCTAGCTTATTCAATTTAAAGCATTTAACAGGGCTTTACATTTTTTTAGCCCATAAAGGAACAATGACAGCCAGCAAGCTTACACTGGTAAGTGTTTATTCTTAATGTTTAAGTATATTGTGGTCATATATATAATAAAACCTATTTATGGTTTGGTGGAGTCTAGACATTCTGTTAGAATAGGGTGGTATCTCTCTTTAGGAACAGTATTATTGTCCCCTGTGTGCCTAGAATTATTAATAGATATGAATCTAACTTTGGAGTTTTTGAGTTGTTCTGCTGTATTCAAGAACTTGTTTATGTTGTTGATCTGGTAACCATTTACCATCTTACATCCACTGAAAACAGCCTCTTAGTTTAAATAAAGTGCACTTTTGCATTACCAGTGTTATTTTTTTAACATAAAACGCAGAAAATACTGCTTTGGAGCATTGTATTTGTATCTTAATTTTAGGGGCTTTCCTGCGTGGGTTTTGATCTGACGTGTTGATTTTCCCCGGATGAGATGTTTCTTGGTTTGTTCAGGAATCCCATTGTCTGCCTCTCTAGATGCCCATGATAATTTTAACAGCTTCTGTCCTCTTGAGTGACTGTACGAAAAGAGGCCATAGGGCATGGTGTTAATAATGACCACATAGGCCCTCATGAACTTCTGCAGCATAAAAACATTTTTTTGGGCTATTGGAATGATTGAAGCATTGTTTCTTTCCATATGGATGTAAAGAATAAGCTATATATGTATTCATATCTTCAACAGGTTGATCTTGCTAGCTCAGGCAGAGTAAGTATTTTCATCAATTTCTTTCCTTAAATCAAGTTAATCAACATCAATAGTGTGCTAGTGTTTTAGATCACAATATTGCCACTGATTGTTGAACAAACTGGCAGGATTAATGACAATTATAAGAATATTGAACAACAATTGTTTATGGTCTTATTTTAAAACAATTATAAATTGCCCCCTTCTTATTACATCTAATAAAAGACTTTCTGAATCTGCCTGGAGTACTTGAACAGTTCTAGTGTGAGTAAGTAATCTGAGTTGAAGTATTTTTCTTTTTTAGGATTTTAAATCTATTTTAGAATCAACCTGTTGTTCTGTGCAGGCCTCACAGATACTCTTAAAAGCAAGGAGCCCATGTCACTCAGGGTTGTGGTGAAGTGTGTCTGTAATGGCAAGACTGTGAGATTTCTCTGTGCAGGTGCCCACAAGTGGAGTTATAAGTGATGGAAAAAGATCTTTCCAGGCAGCACATCCAAACCCCCAAGAAGTCAAGATGCTCAAGCGATCACTAACAATATTTGGAAATGTAAGCTGATTTTTACAGTCCTGTGCTTGTCTGCCTGCTATCCACCTCAGTTTTTTCTCTTCAACACAACATGGTCTACTCTGCCACCATTAAAAATGGCGAATGCCACTGTAAATCCCTGCCATGTTGGTCATCTTTTTTCTTTTTTTCATTTTCAGGTCATTTTTGCCCTGAGCAGTGCAGGTTGCCAACATATACCTTACAGAGAGTCCAAACTAACCAGGATTCTGCGGGACTGGTGAGAATCCATACTGCCTGTGTTCCGTTTCCCCTGGCATTGAAACTGATGTAAGAGTCATCCAATGGCTGCTGGATTCCCTTTTTCCTTCTCCAGTCTGGGAGGGAACTGCCTGACCTCTCTGATCGTGACAGTGTCCCCTAACCTGTCGTCCGTCACGGAGACACTGAGCAGTCTGCAGTTTGCCAGCCGGGCCATGGCAGTGCCCAGTCGGGCTGTCAGGGGCTCCCAGCTCCACTGCGGTGCGGCCCAGGTGCTTCAGGTATGCTATTACCGACTGGACAGCTCGACTCATTGTAAGTAGCTTATTTAAAAAATGCATATTTTCCATTTCCCCCGTTTGTGGCATGCTATCCTGTTTGAGTACATCTCTTGCAATTCTGTCACCCTTCGGCATTGCCCAGCGGATTGGCTTTCACAGCAGCGAGAGATCTGAGCTTCTCAGCTTCAAGGCAGATTCCATAAAATTGAATGCTGTTCATGAATTTCTGCACCAACGTGTCTGTCTGCGAGTCCAGTCCCTTTTCTAAACAGCTGTGTCTTCACAGAACAATAACAATAGGTTGATTCTAAGATAGAAATTGAAAGTCAGATAATTTACTAACAAGTACTCCAGACAGATTTAGAAACAGTTTCTACCCGATGTTTTAAATAGTTCGGATTTTCCTCAGATTTAAAACTGCAATGTCAGGTGACAAACGAGTCAGTTGTGAGAAAACATGAATATCATGGAAGATCAGAAAAGCATGTCTTAAGGCTGGAAAGAGAAGTCTGTTTCAGGGCCATCAGCTTTAGAGGTTCAGTTTGTGTAGTCTTTGATAAGCATTTGTGTCCAACTTTTAAGGGAGATTTTGTTTGGATCTGCTTACAGAACACCAGTACCAAAGTGACTGAAAAACCCCAAAGCAGCCACAGCAGACAGCGGGCCGAGCTGCCGTGTGTCAGTGACAAGAAGGTGATTTCAGCAGCAGCTCTGAGCATCTGAAATTGAACATACTCCTTATAGAACAGATAGATTTTGGATTGCTATGTCACACTTAAAAATATCCATTTTTACTGTATGGTGTCCAAGTGCTCGTAAAAGTTAATGTTCTGAATGCAATTTGTGAACCATGGGTGTATTTTTTTCTTTGGTTATAAATCACCATTTTCAAAATGTATTGCCAATCAGGTCTGATTTACCTTCTGCTTCTGACACTGGAGCAGCTGGATCCCTGAAGTGTGGCAGCCGTATCCCCTGACTGCTGAAGACCACGTTAAAGCAAATCTTACAGTGTGCCGCCACTTTTGATGTTTATAAAAGGCTTAACTGCAGTTTCTATCAGAACTCTATTATGTATAAATAATATAAAAATGCCATTTCAAAACATCATTTTGTGAGATTTGAAAACGGGACCTGGAAGGCGCCTGTCAGGATGGGCTCTGGGTTGTGTCTCCGCAGGGCCTGCAGGCCCAGATGTGTCTGCCCCCCATCCTCTCCAGCCCAGCTCCTCCGTCGTGGCTGAGCCACAGGAAGCAGGAAGGCCTGTCCCGGCGGGAGGGCTCTGCGGGCGCCCCCGAGCAGAAGGCCTTCCTGCCTCACCTGGAGGGGACAGGCGAGGGGAGCCCCCAGTCCGCGAGGCCGCTGAAGAGCAGGCCTGGGGAAGAGAGGGGGGGGAGGGGCCCGTGGTCTCGCTCCAGCAGCACGACCGGACCCCCAGCCCCAGAGCCCCCCAGAGACAAGCCTCCTCGAGGTGAGCCGCACTCCCCCTGTATCTCCGCAGACAGGCTACCGGCTGATGTCTTCAAGGCCCATGAGTGCCCCCATTGCAAGAAGGAGCGGAAGATCAGGGAGGAGTATGACAAGTACGTTGTGCAGGTCAGGGGAGACAAGGACGCCCTGCTGCAGCGGATCTCTGAGCTGGATGCTGAGCTC